CCTACCTGAGGGACCGCCTTTCCCCATATATACCCCCAAGGGCACTTCGGTCGGGGACCCAGAACCAGTTAGTGGTTCCGGGCCCCCGAGACGTAAAATACGCTGCAACAAGGACTAGATCCTTCTCAGTGGCGGCCCCTGCCTGGTGGAATGAGCTCCCGGAGGAGATCAGGGCCCTGCGGGACCTGGTGCAGTTCCGCAGGGCCTGCAAGACGGAGCTCTTCCGCCAGGCTTTCACGTAGGGGCCGCCGCTGCCGCTGCCACCATTACCATCAACGGTGGTAAGAACACCGAAGTTGGGAGTGTCCTTGAGCGTAGTGCTACTAGAATGCTGCAATGAATACAGCGGATGGGCTCGGACTAATTCTCGGACAAGGATGCCATCATTTTTTAACAACTTAAGAAGCACTTTATTGTTATTGTTGATTGTAATGTTTTTGGATTTTACTGGATTTTATGTGGTTTTATGTTTGGGCTATGCCCCTTGTAAGCCGCCCTGAGCCCACTTGCGGGGAGGGCAGGGTAAAAATACTTAAATAAATAAATAAATAAATAAAATCATCTTTTATTTCAGTTGTGCCATTATACGGTTTTCAAGGTATAAGAGTATCAGAAGTGGTTTACCATTGCCTTCTTCTGTGCAGTACTAATCAGGGTTAGCTGAAGTGCCAATGCTGGTGTCTGTGAAAGGTCCTCCACTAGTGTCATCTAATATTGCTGCTGCCCAGTAACTACCTTTCAAGGATTCCGTACTGATGTAGCTTCCCCCCAAGACACGGGTTGGGGTCCAGCAGGGCAGGTCACAGACAAGGTTGCAGAGAGTAACCAAAGTCCAGTCCAAAAGTCAGGGGTTCCACAGAACAGGTTTACCAAAGTCCAGTGAAGGGTCAAGGAGTTCCAGGCAGCAAGTCCAAGTTCACTCAAGGTCAGGGGTTCCAGAAAAGCCTGTTGTCAGGTCCAGTCCAGTTCAAGGTTGCAGAGGTCCAGTAGCAGCAAAGTTGGTGGCTCAGAAGCAAAGTGTACTTGTTGCATCCACAAACTGCTGCTTCTCCCAGCTGAGTTTATAGCCAAATCTTATTGAGCTAAACTCTCAGCCAATTACTTGGCAGTCATCCTGAAACTACTAATTCATCTCTTCAATTGACAGCTGACAATGGGCCATAAGTCTGACACTTCTCCTTTCTTGCAACTCTAAGAGTCTCTGACAGCGTCAGTGCTGCAAGGGTGTGGGTGAGCTAGGTGGGCTGGGAGTGGCTGCTGAAGACTTGTTTTACTGCTTCAGAGCTACAGGGTGTTGGTTTGGTTTCAGCTGTAGGCTGTGACTCCTGATCAGCCAGTAACCTCATCTCTTGTTGTTCTCCTTCTGGCTCAGAGCCAGCTACAGCTGGCTGTTCAATTACCGGCACAGGGCTAGCAGGTAGCTCTTTATCTGAGAAATCTGAGCCAGCACAGACTGACTTACAACCGATTCCTCCACCCCCATCACCTTTGGAACTGCCTGTTGTCTTCTGCTGATGTAGCCGTTGATCCCCAAAGGAGCCGGATGTATCTTAGGCTGATGTCTCAGATTTGCCCATTCCACCTTGAGTGACTGCTAGGAGTCTAAACTCCTGACAGTATCACTCTCAACTTCACTGAGACGCTCAAACACCCTCATCCCTCACACCCAAAATTAGAACTTTTAAAACTATGGGACTAATATACTTCAAAGGTTTGCAGTATAAACAGGAATGGAAATAGGAAGAGAACAACATCTGAACAGAACACACCAGACCAGCAGTTTGTTACTGAGGGGAGGCAGGCAGGGAGTCATATCATACCATGATGCAAAGATGCTACACATAACATTCACAGCCTCATCTCACACAGGAGCTCTCAGAATTTAAGGACAAGAGAGTGAAAGAAGCACATTGGTGCTGAGCCACAAGATCTGTGCATTACTTCACTTTAAGCTGACCGAACAGACCATCCAACTGAAGCCACTGAGAGTAAGAAAACTGATTAAGGCAGGGAAAATGCCCATTAGAAATACTCCACATCCTCTCTTAATTTCACACCTTCAGTTTAAAAAGAACTCAGCCTCTAGCCTTTTCCTTACAGAAATATTAGGGGAAATGATTGTCTCACAAAGGATGAAGATGGGGAAACTGAGTCAATTAGTCTTTAAGAGTTCACTGTACATCTTAAACTATAGGTAGGGTTGCCACCAGTCCCCTCATATGGGCAAAAGGCCAAGTGTATAGTGGGAAATTATGGGTTGGATCCCACAATTTGTCACCAGAAGGCACTGACAATTGTAGATCTTTCCCACATTCCCTTCCACCTAGCAGTCCTTTCTGACGCTTGGACATTTATTCCAAGGGTGTCAGGGCCCATGTGACTTGATGACACTTAATTATTATTAGTAATGTCCCTTAGCCAGGTAGGTGACAAAAAGGTGCAAGAAAATGGGTGCCTGTCTCAGGGGGTCTGTAATCTAAAATTTGAAATATGCATGATAATATAAAGAGATATAGAAGTAGAGATAAAAAGGAGGACAAATGTGTGCTCATTCCAATTACACATGCAGGCAGAGTTTGGTGGGTGGGGTTCCATTAATGGCGCATGCCAAAGGCTTCTCTCTCTCTCACACACACACACACACACACACACACAAAGAGGGTCTTCAGGGAGTTGAAGGAAGTGAGAGAAGTATGCTGGTATTCCTGAAGATCGGTAGAAGGGAAAAGAACAGCTGAGTTCTCTGAGGGAGCAGGACACCTAAGGACCACTGAAGATGAAACAGCAGTGAATCTGGGAATAGACAGAAATCTAATGTTAGGATCTCAGGGGTTTCAAATGATGTGATCAACAGAGAGGCAAGGGATTCTGCTGGTAAGTAAAGGTGAGGAACCAAGGTGAAATAATGGAAGATCTAAGAGAGGAGGCTAAAGGTGGGAGATGACCACAGCATGAGACAGTTTTCGGAGGGAGGGTGGCAAGGGAGAGATGTATTTTTGAAATACTATAAAGTTAAGAAGTGACATAAGAGGTATGGCAAAAGCGAGAGAACCATTAAATGTAAAGATGGAGACCAGAAGAGCCACTCAAGTGAACAGGAGGAAAGCAGCACATTACAAGGGGAAATCGTGGAGGGGCAGGTTAAGGGAATAGGACCAAATGGTATGTCTGAATGCAGCAGGGAAAGAAACAGAGGAGAAAGATAGGTTGATTCTATAGTGGAGAGCAGGGATGAACGCACAGGAGCTGGGACCAGCAACTGAGAATTCAGGAGCCCCACGAAGGAACTGAGCGTGACTAACAGGGGGAAGAGACTGAGGGAGTGTACGAAGAGGGAGAGGTGAAGAAGAACAAAATGACAGGAAAGCGCCAGAGATCAGAGAAGATCGTTCCGATACCATCACTGAAGAAAGGAGAAAAGTACTGTGCAGTAAGCGATCTGATAGGTGGTGGGACAGGCCTCCGTCGGCATCAAAGGATGAGAGGAACAGCAGAGGATTCCTACAGTGGACGCGGTTCAGGGAGGGATATTAATGTGGTTTAGACAGGTAGGTGACGGGGGGGGGGAGCAGGCGAGCATGAAAACAGAGTGGACTAAGTTAGCATTACTGTTGCTGTTCCTCAGTAGACAGTGTGGTGTCAGGGCTCTTTTTGTAGCAGGAACTCCTTTGCAAATTTGGCGACACACCCCTAATGTAGCCAATCCTCCAAGAGCTTAGAGCTCTTTTTACAGGGGCTACTGTAAGCTCTTGGAGGATTGGCTACATTAGGGGTGTGTCGCCTAATATGCAAAGGAGTTCCTGCTACAAAAAGAGCCCTGGAATGGTTAGAGTTTCAGACTAGGATCTGAGAGTCCCAGGTTCAAATCCCCACTCCGCCCACGCTCTTGGGCCACGCACTCTCTCTCTCAGCCTGATCTGCCACACAGAGTTTGTTTTTAAGGATAAAATGGAAAAGAGGAGAATGATGTAAACCACTTTCGAATCCTTGTTAGGATGAAAGTGAAATAAATTAAGGAACAGGCTCACAGCTGCTGTTGTTCAGGAAGTCAGGGAGACCTTGTTCCTTAGCCATAAGAAGCTTTCCCCAAGATAACAGAGATCAAAGGGCCCCCATTTCTGGATTTAAAATTAGCAGCCCAAAGTTATCAGACAAAAATCCCGACTGCGTATCAAAGGCACGTTGAGCGTTTAAAATTTTGTTGAATGAGTCAGAAAGCACAAGTCACATGTTTCAAAAGGATTATTTGCTTTTCTTCACACAGGGCCATTCGTATTAAGGATCTTTTTTGTGTGTGTGTGGGGGGGGGGTGTAATGGGAAAGAGTACCTTGAGTAGTCACACAGGCCAAAACAAATCCTCCATTTCAAAATCCTGTCGTGTAATGAGGAAGTTTAATTAAGGCCACATACTACGGGGCTGTAAACGTTCTCTTTCTATAACAAGGTCTAAATGAAGTTACAATTCCTTCATTAGCAAATTACAAACAAGAGTGCACAGCTGACACACCAGCTATGATTATCACAACTAATTGCCTCGTTGTCGCAAACCAACCTGGAACAGCCATTCAGATGTCCTCCTGCAAACGGCAAATGAGGGCCGCGGCGCGCTATTTCTGTGATCACAAGGGGCTCTTGTACGGCGATCCGATTTACCCTTGTCGACTGGCAGCAAACGGCCCAATCAAAGCCTTCTCTACAAAGGCGAGCTTTGAAGCCTGGAAGCGCACTCCATATGCAGGACGGCAGACTGCACTTCATTAGGCCTGTTGTTACATTCTCCCTCTTCTTATTCTAATGATCCTATTTTAATACACATAGGAACCTCTCCTAATTGATGTCAAGTGAGTGACTTCAACATTCATCACCACAGCACATCAAACACGTCTTGGCACACAAACTCAGCATCATGGTGTTTAAGACCCGAGGTGTGTCTCCAAATGCAGGGAAAAGAGCATGCAAGCGCACGCGCACACACACACACACACAAAAGGATCTGTACCTGTTTAATTGGGATCGCACGGCCGCTTCCGATGCTATCCGCTCTGCTCTCCAATCCTTTCTTCTCTTTGTCTGGGTCGCTCCCTTTCCGAGACTGCAGAGCAAAAAGCCAAGTGAACGCTATTAATCTGTTGATTCTTGCATTGTGCTTTAAATTGAAAAGTTGTTTTGTCGCATCAGGGGAAAAAAAGATGGACTAGCTATAATTACATCTGTTTGGGAAATCTCAAAGAAGTACTAAAAAAAATAATCAAATGATATTAAAACAATTACACCCAAGGCCTTCTATCCAACATGGGCCATAGGGCAGCTTTTCAGTGGTCTGCTGTTGTTTACCAGAAATGCAACTCCAAAAACAGTGATTCAAAAACAGGAATAACTTCAGACTTTTTTTTAATACTTAGTCAATTTCCAACACAGGTATGTATATTTAATTATCGTCTGATGAGATTTTAAAAAGGCAATTAACGACTCAGCAGCATAATTTTATGGATTACCTTGATTAAAATTAAATTCATTTAGTTCCTTCTTTTACTACTTACAGATGATTAAACAGTATCAAAGTCAAACTAACAATGCTAGGAAAACTAAGCTTGCTTTGTCAAACTGTTAAGGTCACAAATTCTTGGGGGGGCTATATGTACATCTTTCTAAATATAAGGGTATAATTTTAATTGTTCTACATGTAAAAATGATTGGGAGGATTTTTTTTAAACAAAAATCATTTCACTTTTAACATGGATTTTTTTAAAAAAATCAAAAGAGCTAACCATGAAAAACATTTTGTTGGGACAAAAAAACTCTTCTGGTTTCACACGGCTATGGACCAAGTACACAAATCCTATTTAAACAGAACTTAAGATCCTCCTCCATTATTCTGAGGTAAGTAAATCTGCATGTGACAGATTTATTTTATTAAGAGCAAGATCTACGAAGTCACCGATATTTTAATAACTGCACTGACAAGTGACAACTTCACTCCATTACTTTTCAGTGGGCACATTATTCACACAATATTGAAAACGGGAAAACATTTTCATGTGCTTTTCAAATCAGAGATGATCAGTTAAGTGAACGTACTAGCACTGGTCCACGCATAGCGAAATACTAATAAAAGCCAAAGAGAAAGAAACCCCCCTCCCGCGTCTCACTTTTAATGCAAAAAAGTGCCTAAAAAAATTCAAAACAGGAACAAATATGAAAGTAAGATGGCCCCATTGCACCTCCTTTTTAAAAAATATTTTAGATGAGGGGGAAAGGGAGGTGACTCAAAAGCCCCCCAAAATAATGCCACCTCAACAACAAGCAGCAAAACATTCTTTCTTCTATACAGACAGTACCAAATCCCCGCCCTCTGACATTAAATCTTTAATGTTAGATTATGGAATCAAATATTGGTGAATATACAGAGGGCGGTGATAAATCCAAAGATTTAACAAGTAATACAATCCATGCCTCTAAAATTCATGTGAATGCACACAGTGGGAAAGACAGAAGAATTACCCAAGTGGTTTTTTTTTTGGGGGGGGGTGCCGTAGATGAATGCAGGAGGAAGAGGTGGATCAGGATGTCCCACGTATGGTAAGTCTCCCTCTGGCTCACTCACAGGTCTAGCAAGCTCCCGGATCCCAAGTGAGGTAGGCAGGTTTGTAGCAACCCCATAGCAGCCAATAGGTTTCGGCTAATCTGTTCCTCTACCCTCACAGGCTTCCGTCAGTGCTTTTTATCTCTTTCCCCAAAATCTGTTATCATCGGCTCGATCGGCTCACATCCCTAAAGCTTAGACTGGCACCATTCAGCTTCTATAGAGTGCAGGACCTGCTGCATTCATCTACGGCACCACCAACTTTTAACACAATGAGAGTTAAAGTACATCATACCTTTTATTATAATAATTAAAAGATGGATAAAATAAATCATTATAATGTGACATTTGCATCATCTGGACTCAAGGGAAGAAAATTCTTGAGAAATTCCGCCAGGACTTCAACAACCGTCATTCCACCATCAACCTAACCATGGACCAGTCTAGACAACAAGTACATTTCCTGGGCATCGCTGTACAACTACATGATGAACACATAAGCATCAGTTTATACCAGAAACCCACTGAGTGCCATTCACATCTTCAGGCTTCCAGCTGCCACCATGGAACATACTACCAAAAATTCCAAAACACATTTCCTCCAATCCCTCATACAAGGAGTTTCTCCTAAAAGATTCAGAACAAGAATTGTTTAGGATGACAGTGTTCACCCAATGGAGTTAAAAACAGCTTAACGAAGCCAGAACTGTAGCCAGAAATAGTCAACTACGTGACAGAAAGTTAATGGAACACTAAGAAAGTTAATGGAACACCACTACCAGACATCTACAGCTCTTACTAGTCCAACGCATCATCAATGGCCTACAGTCTGTCCTGGATAATGATCTTTCTTTCTCACAGGTAGAAATGTGAAGGCCCAGGAAAAAACCAGGAAAAATTCAGGAGGAAAAAAAACCCCATGTTAATCCTTCCCCAAGGACTTTTTGGAATAAATTAAATGCTTCTTAAGAAAAGGATCTTTAATTCGGATTCCCTCCCCCCAATTAAAAAAGACATAGTGTCAAAATGTTAGAGCTTTTCCATTTTTTTCCTAATAAAAAATTAAAAAAATTTGGAGAGCCCTGAAAAAACCTCAATTTTTATTCCTTCCCCACCGTCTCAGACGGCAAAAATGAGATCCATAATCTAAGGTACCATATGGTGTAGCAGTCTGCAACTCTCTCTCAAAAAATGGGTACATTAGCCATTTTTTCTTATGGAAAATTAAGACATTTACCCTTTTGAATTCCATAAATGTGCCAAATTGTACAATTTTATATGCTAAGAAAAATTATGCATTTTATTTTGTTAAATCAGTAAAATAAGTCTAGGCTTGATAGGAAACTATTGTATATTGTATAACACCCCACCCCCATCCCAACCTACAACAGCTTCTCACTAACAACAGTGGATCAACCCAGTGGTTCACCCATGTACCGAACCCTGCAACAAACCTGGATGCCAACTTTGCCCTTATATACACTCAAGTAATACAATCATGTCCTGACCTGGATAGCTCAGGCTAACCCTATCTTGTGAAATCTCAGAAGCTAGCTAAGCAGGTTTGCCTTGGTTATTACCTGGATGGGAAACCACCAAGGAAGTCCAGGATTCTGATGCAGAGGCAGGCAGTAGCAAATCACCTCTGAACACCTCTTGCCTTGAAAACCCTCCAGGGTCGCCATGAGTTGGCTGCGACTTGACGGGACTTTACATGCACACAATAGGATCATAAGATTGTTATTTTATGCATTGTAGTTTTTATGTTGTTGTAAGCCGCCCTGAGCCAGCCATGGCTGGGAGGGCGGAGTATAAATATAATAAATAAAGGGCCTAGTAACATCAGCTACACCGCCTTGGGCTCATCCATGCGTTCCTCTTCCAATGGAACATATTTCCCAACACATACCAACAATGCCCTGGACAAACAGGTTAGCCCCTTCACAAAAAAACGAACAAAACTCTGTCCTTAAAAACTGCAGGCAAAGATTTTACACTTCCAGGGCATTCTGTTGTTGATCTAAAAGTTATAACCCGACACAACAGTCCTGAACTAACATCAGTCAGGAAGATCAATACTATCCCCTTCACAACAGATCTGAAGAAGGACTTGGGACTTCTCAGTCACTACACGTGCAAATATCTTCACATACCCTACCTTTACACATTTTTAATCGTTTGTGTGTATTTCTGTACTTTTCTAATTGGATCTGTTTCTCATGTTTCACCCTGAAGTTCCCTAGATGAGATATGATTTTATGTTTATCCTATTTTGTCCATCTGTCATCAGTTGGATGTGGTCTTCATGACTTCCCAGAATCCTATTCAAAAATTCTACAGTCAAAGCTTCACTTATTCTTCACTATGTCTTTACGTATTGTTCTGTAGTTTGTTTAATCAGCACTTTTAGTGTATCTGTTTCTGTGAAGCTCTTGCAAAAAATATTGTAAAGCAAGTTCTCAACTGTTTGAAGTATGTGATCTCTCTATTCCAATAACAAACAACAAATGATATTTCAAAATACTATATTACATCCAATTATATATTGTGTTCAATAAAGAGACTCAAGATGAAACTCTTGCTCACTACAAAACTCATGGGCGGGCAGGCTAAGGCCAGTTACACCCTTTCAGTCTAATTTGCTTCACAGGGAGACTGTGGGAAGTTGTCAAGACACAAGATGCAACCCCTCAATTCTGTAGAAAAAGTGAGAAATTAAAAAATATAAAGAAATACATAAATTGCCAGGACACCAAACTAGAAGAAGAAGAAGATTGCTTAAACTGGGCAATCCCATCACATCTGCAATGTTAGTACACCAATGCCGTGTCAGCCCAGGCATCCTAACACTGCATACGCAGTAGCTGAGGACATGGCTAAAGCTTGGTTTCAAGAGGAGGAGGAGGAGGAGGAGATTGGATTTATACCCCGCCCTTCACTTGGAGTCTCAGAGCGGCTTACAAACTCCTTTCCCTCCCCCTCCCCACAACAGACACCCTGTGAGGTGGGTGGGGCTGAGAGAACTCTGGTACAAACTGCTCTTTCAGGAACAGCTGTGCCAGAGCTTGTGACTGACCCAAGGTCACATCAGCAGGTGCAAGTGGAGGAGTGGGGAATCAAACCCGGTTCTCCCAGATTAGAGTCCACGCACTTAACCACTACACATGGGAGAAACCCCATCTAAGCGAATCAATAACTACTACCCAATTACAACTGTTATTACCAGTGGTGACCATAAGAATCACTTTTATTTTTAAAACACCTACCCCACTTCATTTGATATTAAAAGCTACTTCCAGCATGATTATACGTTACAATAATAAAAGCAATCAATAATACCACTACAATAGAAAACAAAAATATTAAGGAGTGATCTCAGCCCCCAAACTTTCCTGTTTAGCCCAGGGCCCAAGCACTACAGGTACCATCAAAGGAACAACTTGCAAAATGTCACCCAGGAAGGATCATGTGAGCAGGGGGCTGACACAATACACAAATCTTCAACAGAGAACTTGCTTTCCACAGAGAGAAGTGAAGGCCAAGGGAGGGGGGAATCAGAAAACTGAGGGGGGCATTGCCCCACATTTTTCCACAAGGACTTTTTTTTACCCCATTTATCCAATGGAAAAACTGGGAAACTACGGAGACTCTCCTAAGAAATATTTTTTCTTTGAATTGAGTGTAACGGTTTTAAAACAAGTTTTTGACAACTCAACATAACTATAACATGAACATCTAGGGATTTCATTTTTTTTTTTTTAGCTTTTCTCATTTTTCAAGTTTTTCTTATTTTAGGTTTTCTCACTTTAGAGAGCACTGGAATAAATGGAATGCTTTTAAGGCAAGGTTTTACTCACTCAAACGGAATAGAATTCAGTTTTTCCAATGGAAAGATTGAGAAAGGGGGGGGGCTGACAAAAACCCCTTACAAAATATTTTCCCCCCTTTAGGAATGAGTGAAATGTGCTAAGATCGCACAGGCTGTAGCACCTTGCAGCTCTCCTGCTTAAGCAGTACATTTATTTGCCATTTAGCCTCAGAAAACTAAGGCATTTATAGCTTTAAATTCCAAGAATGTACAATTTCATATGCTTACTAACGTATAAAAGATGCCTTTCTGTACAGCAAGTTACAGCAGCAAAATAATTTTAGGTTAGATAGGAAAGTTAAGTATTGCATATGTTTTAATTTTTCCTAACATTTCCATTTTTTCCCCAGGGGGGGGAGTCCCCCTCGCCAAAAATTTTCACGTCTCTGTTTCCACATCTTTCCAGAGGTTGGGAAATACAACAGAGTGGGCCAACTGATCTTGTGGAAAGTAAATAGGTCTCCCAAAAGGAGGGTACCTGCACGTGAAGCTACTGGGCAGCTAGGAGAGGCAACCCATCTATCTAGCCTAAAATACAGTAATTTTTGTTTTATGTATGGGTTCATGAAGCAAGGGATATCCGTGTCTTAAAAAGCTCTTCACTTTTAATCCTCAAATAAACACAGTTCCTCTGCAGGATCCTAAGCAAAGTCTGAACAGAAGCCAAAACTCCTCTTTGAGGAGACCCGCTGCCAATCCCACACTCTATTCCTTGAGCAACACTGACATCTAGTGGACCACACTCTGCTACTAACGCACAGGAGTTGAGTGCCACTTTAAAGATTTGAGATACCATTCTAGTGCAAAGCTTTTTCAGGCAATGGCCGGCCCACTTTATAAAACTCTTGTTATGATCCCTCTTGGCAGAAGTTTTGAGGTTAATTATATTTTTTAAATTTATCTACTATCTAAAAGGTTTCTGTTCTGCCATTTTGCCTTGGACTCAAGGCAGCTAATGGTGCAGCAGCCCCAGTGGCAAGGGCATAAACAAACAAAATTAAAACGCACAAATTACAAACTGGAAAGTTTAAAAAAACTGGAAGGTCAACAGATCACGAAAACAGAGGAAGTACAGCATAAGACATAATGATGTAAGACTCAAATGTAATCAATAAAAGGCGGTTCGTAATAAGCAATCAGAGGAGAGAACACAGCATCAACCAGTTTTGCTAAGCTCCTGTATACCTGTAATGACTGAGGCACCCCAGGTCTTTGTTAAGTCCTTGCGGGAGGAATTCTAATTCAGATGTTTCGCACTGGAGTCTCCTTGCCCAGTTAGTCTGATGGCCAATTGTGACTTTTAGACCAACAACCATGTGTGCTGAGAGACTGAAATGCTGTACAACGTTTCTAAATATTGCCATTTTTAATGTCAGATTTGAATATTCTTCTGATCCAAAGGCATTTATTTATTTAGAAAATCTGGACATCGCTTCTCCAGGCCTGCTCAAGGCAGCCCACATGTAAACCACTAACAATAAAAAGGATATCAATAAGAACAAATAAAAGCAAAAGCAATAAAATCAATATCAATAACAACACTACCAATTAAAAACAGACAAAAGAAAAAGAAAACCAGAATACAAAAGAGCTTAAAACAGAGCACTCTAAAGTGATGCTGATAAAACAGTCCATAGGCCAGGAGATGATGATCAGACAGCCAAAACAAAAGGATGGAACCCCTTACATAAGAGTCTAGATAAGAAGAAACGTTTTGGCCTGGCACCTGAAAAACAATGAGGCAGGCACTGAGTAAGCCTTGAGGGGGAGGACAGTCCAAAGGTGAGGTGCCACCACCAACAAAGCCCTATATCTGGTCACCATCCATCTTGCCTCTGAAGACCAGGCCCAGACTGCAGGGCTTGAGAAGAAGATTCCAGCTGGCAGGCTAGACAATATGGGGGGAGGCAGCCCTTCAAATACCCCACTCCCAAGCTGTGTAGGGCCTTATAAGAAAGAATCAGAACTCTGAATTGTTCCTGGAAACAGGTGGGCAGCCAATGTAGATCTTTCAACAAGGGGTGATAAGATCCCTGTATTCAGCCTGGCTGCCACATTCTGAACCAACTGAAGCTTACAAAAAGTTTTCAAAAGCAGCCCAATATTACATTAATCAAACCTGGACATGATTCAGGGCATGGATCCTCTCACAACCCTCTTGTTCTCACTTTAGTTATGTATGTAAGTTTTAAACACTTAGGACTTCATATACTGTGTTCTGTGTAGTGTTCTTTATTATTTAATGGACTTTTCTTTGTGCGGTTTATACCTGAAACATTAAAAGCTGTTTGCACGGCTTGCTCGGATTCTGTATGCTTCCCCGTTTTTGTTTAATGCCTCGCACATTGGTTTTATTCTGATTGTTTTACGGTTGCTATAAACAGCCTCAGAATCTGTACTGATGGAAAGGCAGAGCAAAAATGTTTAAAGCAGATTCCTAAAACATTGGGTGGTAGAAAATGCTGTCGAGATGCAGTCGACTTGTTCTCCAGAGAGCACCGTGATCAGGGTCCCAAAACCGACTGACCCTCCCCGGACCCAAGGACGCCAGGCTGGCAATAACCAGGGCCAGAGCTTTCTCAGTGGCGGCTCCTCTCTGGTGGAATGAGCTCCCAGAAGAGATCAGGGCCCTGCGGGACCTTATGCAGTTCTGCAGGGTTTGCAAGACGGAGCTCTTCCACCAGACCTTCAATCAGGAGGAGCCGCCCCAATAGAGAACCCTGTCCCCTAAAGTCATCAGAACAGCCTGTGCCAGCTGCATAAGGTCCTTGAGAGAGCTGTCCTTGAGAGAGCTCTCTCAGCCCCACCTACCTCATAGAAGAGGAGACTAGATTTATACCCCGCTCTTCAATCGGAGTCTCAGAGCGGCTTACAAACTCCTTTCCCTTCCTCTCTCCACAACAGATACACTATGATGGAGAGCCAGTTTGGTGTAGTGGTTAAGTGCGCGGACTCTAATCTGGGAGAACCGGGTTTGATTCCCCACTCCCCCACTTGCACCTGCTGATGTGGCCTTGGGTCCGTCACAAGCTCTGGCACAGCTGTCCTTGAAAAAGAGCAGTTTGTGTCAGAGTTCTCTCAGCCCCACCCACCTCACAGGGTGTCTGTTGTGGGGAGGGGAAGGGAAAGGAGACTGTAAGCCGCTCTGAGACTCCAAGTGAAGGGCGGGGTATAAATCCAATCTCTTCTCTTCTTCTTCTTCTTTTGAGGACTGCTCTTTCAAGGACAGCTCTGACAGAACTATGGCTTGCCAACGTCATCCAGCAGGTGCAAGTGGAGGAGCGAGGAATCAAACCCGGTTCTCCCAGATTAGAGTCCACACACTTAACCACTACACCAACCTGGCTCTCCATCATAGTTATCTGTTGTGGAGAGAGGAAGGGAAGGAGACTGTAAGCAGCTCTGAGACTCTTGAGTGAAGGGTAGGGTATATATCCAATCTCTTCTTCATATATATATAAAAATGCAGGACACATTCCGAATGCCCTTCACAGCAACCAAAACTGTGATGCGTACTTGTAGTGTGATGTGAGAACCAGTCGATATGTCAAAAAATCTTAAAGCAGTGAGGGCAATTCCAGATTACAAACCTTCTAAAATAGGAATCTGGAACATAGTTACATGACCAATGGCAGAGGCCAGACACAACTCACTCAATGAAGTCACCAGAAAATGAAAGTTTATTTGTGTAAGGTTTTAAGGTTGTTATGTCCTTCAGCAGCACCACAGAGCTCAGGAAACAAATGCATGGTATACAAAGGCCACTCAAATCAAGGATCACGACCACTTTAGAAGTGAAGCACCCATCCTAACAGACTTCATGCCAGGAGCCCAAATGGCTGCAAGAAAGGCTGGCTGGCTGCTGCCCAGGGAAAAGGGGGTACCAGATCATGACAGGCGGGCATCCTCCTGCACCAACCAAGCAAGCTGAAAGCCACATTGAACACAACAGAAGAATGGCCACAACCTGCCCATATCCCCCACTCCATGTCACAAGTTCTTCATGGCCTTATTTTTTCTGCTAAAGAATCAGTTCCAGACAAAAAGTGGCATCTAGGTTTGTTTTCAAAGAATACAGTGTGGAGAGCCATGCACAAGCATTTTTTTTCCCATCTCCCGGCTCACTCACCGCAAAAAGGTTGGACCGGCGCTTCGACTGTTTGCGAACAGGTGTTGGAGTGTTAGTGGTGGGAGGGACATCGATCCGCAGCTCCTTCTGGCTGGTGCTCGGAGTGGAGGGGACCGAGGAGGAATAGTCGCTTAAGCTGCCTCCTCCATTGCTGGTCTGCAAGGATTAAAATCCATTTTAGCAGAAAGAAAACCAATTGCAATTGACCTGCCACTGAACACCCGAAGCCACCTTATCCTGACCCTTGGTCCATCAAGGTCCATGTTGTCTACAGGGGCTGACAGTGGTTCTCCTGGGTCTGCACCAGAGGTCTTTCACATCACCTACTTTAGCTAGAGAATGACCCAGGGACCTTCTCCACGCAAAGCAGATGCTCTGCTGAGTCACAGCCTCTCGCCTTCACAGCCTTCATTTCATTTTCAATAAGCAGTGCAGATTCACCATAAAATCTCTTCTTCTCAAGGAATTGACAGGATTGGCAGGTTCTCTTTAGCCGAATCCCTTCCACCAGACAGGATTGACTTGGCGGAAAAAAAATTCATGGAAGGAAGTGGAGGAGTGGGTTCTTCCCACGCTGTCCTCCTTCCAGTCAACCTGCTGCTTCCTTTGAAAATCTTCTCAGATCTTCTCAGAGGGACGGGAGGGCCTCTGAAACAAAATGCACCAGAGCACAGGGTACTGCAAAGACGGGGGGGGGGGGGGGTTTCCAAGGAAGCCGTTTTGTCATTGCCGCACCCCCAACCTGTGATGTGTTTTGTTTGTGAGGCTGTCCCGACCTTCTGAGAAGATGTTCAGGCTGCTTGGGAAGGCAGCCAAAGTTCTGCATCATCAACTTCTTCTGTGAATTGTTGCGGTAGATTCAACCCACAGTGTACACCGTTATTTCACACTCTTAACACATTATTACAAGGTACAGGATGCTGCAGCCACACAGGGTAGGGAACAAATAGTCTGCTGGGGGTGGAGATGGAAAATAAAACCTTGGAGCTGGTTGAGGAAGGCTGTATTTCACACACGCCTTCAAAAGGAGAGAGGGGACGTCATAATTCAGGAAAGCAGCCATGAACACATGGTCTTGGGAAAGCAAGGTATGCTCCCTGAACCCTGGAACCGAGGTAATGGATGAGACACACTGAATGCAAAGTAAAGGATTTGGAGAGGCAACCTCTTATTACCATCTTGAGAGCTATGTCCAGTGCAGAAAAAGAGGGTGTGCATTTATAACCATTTTTTAAATCCTTGCTCAGTCTATTGTGTTTGTCTGTGCAGTGTGTGTGTGTGTGTTAGGTCCCCTCAAGTCGCTTCCAACTTATGGCGACCCTATGAATTAATGACCTCCAAAACTTCCTATCATTAACAGCCTTGCTCAGGTTTTGCAAAAACAGTGGCTTCTGACTGAGCCAATCTATCTCACGTCGAGTCTTCCTCTTTTCCTGATACCATTCCTTGCATTATTGTCTTCTCCCGTGAGCCTTTGTCTTCTCATAAAAAGTGCAGCACGAGCGTTATACAGTTATTTTATTTTCCTTATTTACTTATTCAAACCCTTTTCATTTTAAATCTGGTCAAGCTGATCTCTGGAAACCACATTAAGCCCAGTTCTGGCCATGCTTACCGGGCGTTTGAAGCATGTGCATGGTGGGGAGGGAAGCTGTTAAGCCCTATTTGTCGAGACAGCTCACAAAGGAGAGAGATTGGTCCCTTCTGTAGCAATTAGGAGACAGAGACAGGGAAGATTCAAAATTAGCACTAAGATCTTTTAAGAGACTAAATACGAGGAGGGCCTGGGTGCAGATCCATGGGCTGGTCAACCCTCTGAGAACTGATCTGCTGGTGGTGGTACCCCCTGAGAAAAGTAGGGAGCAGAAGAAGGAGCCTTGTTGTCATCTAGCAGCTGGAGACTGGAATGTCTTCATTCCCTGTGGCTCAGCAAGGTCTGCCTCACCACACATGGGAACTAACTGGTGAAAAAGTCTGCTTGTGCAGGGAGAAGGGTCCTTTGCAGTTTTATTCAGGACCACATTTGACCGATTGTCACAGGTCAGGCAGAGCCAGGGGTAGGTTCCTGGAGGGCAGTCAAAATCCAAGGGAGGGAAACCGAGTCAATCAATCAGACCTTTATTGGCATGTTATGTTAAAACTGACAGGCAAGGAATTACAAAGTAATATGCAGTTAATGATACATTCCCTTAGGGAAACCGAGTCAAGAGTCCAGACCAAGAGTTCAGAGCCAAGAGAGCTGTTGCCAAGGGGTTGTTCAAGAGGTGTAGTCCAGTAGTCCAAGGGTTATTCATGAGCAGAGGTCAAGCAGAGCCAAAAACCATAGTCAGAAACCAGTCCAAGGGTCACATGGGCAAGGCAGGAGCCAAGGCTGTGGCCACAAAGTCAATGGTGGATTGACTTGTTGCTTCCACACCTAACAGCCTCTCTTGGCTGGTTTTTATAGGCATGTGCTTAAGGGTCCAATTTGCAGCCAGCTGCTCAGGAGTAAATCTGCAACTACTCAAGCAGCCGGTGTTGGGCCCAGAGGTGAGCACTCTGCCATCTCTCTTGTAGTTCGGCTCGCAGCCTTTGTCTGTGGCACTCAAAGGGTGTGGGTGATGCTGGAGGGCTGGGAAGGATGTTTAGTTTCACCTGTAGGCTCAGGGCTGGAGAGTGTCCATGGCTCTGTACCAGCTGTTGGCTGTGAATCCTGATCAGCCGGCAGTTTGTCTCCTGCTTGTTGGCTTCTGCTGACTCAGAGCTGGCTACACATGGCTCCTCTTCTCCTGAGGAGTCCTTACTGAGCCCTAACTGACTCATGACACTGATTTAAGTTTTTTATTTACTGGCAGTACTAACTGGAGTTTTTAAAATGGTGACTTTTTATGGGCTTTTATCATAGTATTTATACGGTCCATATTGTGTTTTATAATTATCATTTTATTCATGTGGTAAGCCTCCTTGAGCTCTGCAATAGAGAAAGGTGTCTAATAAATGTTTTAAATAAATATATAAATAAGGGAGGCTATTAATGCAGTCCAAATTTCTGAACAGCTTGTACAAGCTAAATACTAACTAACTGCTTGGTCGTAACAAACAGTCTCAACTTGGGCTTAGAAGATTCACTTTGATTTTTTAAATAGAACCTTGAAATCTATAGACCAGAATCAAATACAAAATAATGGTTCATTAGGAAGACTTAAGCTCGGGTGGGGGGCAAAGTGGCAATTCCTTGGGGTTTGGGGGGAAGGATATTACTGCTACTGCGGCTACTAGTGACTTTCAAGAAACAGCCATTTGTGTCAGCATTTTTGAGCATAAGGTCCCAGGATCAGTGGGGCACACGGAAACCTCAGTTGTTCATGACTGAGGAAAAGAAGCGAGCACAATACGGCAGCTTAGGCATGCACAGAGTTAGCTGTCCCACTTCAGAAAGAAGAGATTAACAGGGCACCAGAGAATCTTTTCCTCACTGGGAAACTGAATTCCATCCACCTCCTACACTCTCAAAATTAAGAAACAGAACTTACAGAGTGGATCAAATATGTTCCAACACTTCTCTCACTCCCATCCCCCCCAGGGATATATTCTGTTCTGTCCACTCCATGCAAAGAGCCACTCACCTCTTTTTCTCTCTCCCAGAAGACCTTTTAACAATGCTTCTCCCACTCCCCACCCCCCATTCAACATGGTACACTTTTTTCCATGGCACACAACCCTAGTACCACATTGGACACAGTCCATTAGGGACTGTTTCTTGTGTACTAGATCCCACCCCGCCCCAACCTTTCTTGGTTTTCCCAGCTCAATTGTATTTTTGTTCTTGCTGCTCTTAAGCATGTTATCTTTCTAAGGGAGGCAGCAACTGGAACCATGTGGTAGTCAATCCAGCAGAGACAACAAGGGTGAAGGAAGCAGAATGTGGAGTGAAAGAGACTGCAGGGGAGATGTGGCTTCACACATGAATGGGAACAACAAGGAACACCCAGAGAAAGAGAGAGACTGTAAACGCTACAGCCCTATCCCCTTTCCACCAACTTTGCAGAATTCATTGAGAAGGAAGTCAGAAATCCTTCCCAAGATATTGCAAAGAGACACAGAATTATTGGGAGATGACGGAGTGACATCCCGTCACCCACCCACATGTAAGCACCCTCAGGTTGACCCAGCTCACCCAACTCTCTGCTCTTACTCTGCAACTCCTGAACTTTAACTGCCAAAAACCAAAACTGTAAAAATATTACCTCCCTCTTTCCCAGCACTCAGCTGAGACTGGTTTTCCACATGAACTACTCTCACTGGCTCCTGAGTTGCAGGGTTAATTCACTGCCCTACCTAAGTCAGCTATATTTATGATATGTGCGCATGAGGCACAAATCTCAGAAATAGGTTCAATGAGCCAAATTGATTTCTATTGGCTGGGTATCTACTTTTTAAGGGCCTGGGGAAGAAGCTGAGGATGTGGAAATTTATTCTCAGAGTAGGCTAAGCAGCATAAAACAGCTCTCCTCTGCTGGTCATCAGAAGTCATTTCAGGGCCTAAAATCTTGAGTTGCCCGCATTTGCCACCAAAAGCTCTAAATGACCTCTCCCCCGAGAATTGTGTGTGGTTAGGGGGAAGTGTACTACTCCAGTTAAACATTAATGTCCTGGCAGGGTCTCTACCCAGTAGGGGACAAAATTGTCCTTTTGACTTTTCCATCAGTGGAGGAGGGAGCAATTTCACTTACTTCCCACTCAGCACTCCAGCCGCCTACCCCACATGGCTATTAGTCTATACAAGCACTGCAACCCCATTGGTGGAAAACCTGTTCTGGTAAGCCACAACATGCCATCTGAGAACCTATGAGGTGGCAGTAATGACAGCAAAAAAGGCATCCTTTTCCACCCTCAGTATATCTGTAGAACCACATCCAGCCAATTTGTTGCATATTATTCAGAGCTTAAAGATGCCTGAAGAAGATGCATTTGACTTAACGGACAGAAGCTGTAACACTTTTACTAGATTAATCTCAGATAAAATCTCTCAAATCCCATCTGATTTGGATGGTAATTTGACAACAGATCAAGCAGCAGAGGTGTCAGTGGTGCCATATGGTCAGGTTGGTAAGAATTCTTTCAGAATGGTTTCTCCAAAAGATTTCAACAGGAGCACAGGCGTTTCAATGACCACTTTCTGAAAATTCAGTCTTTGTCCATCATGGCTGCTGAAATCTTGCGTAGTAAAATTTAGGATTTTGGTAACCCAAATTATTAATAGTTCTCTGTTGGAATGGGTTTTTTGCAAAATCTTTGAAGGAAGACATAATTAGATCCCCTACTGAAGAAAACAATGCAGTCTGCAGATGACCCAGCAAGTTACAGACTGGTGTCTAGTTTAAGATTTCTGAGGCAACCTGATCAAGCTGGTGGTGGCAGAGCAACTCTAGGTTTCCTGAATGACATACTGACCCTTAACCCTCTTCAGCCTGACTTCACGCTGGGCTATGGGACTGAGACAGTACTGGTAGTATAACTGAGCATTTTCAGACTGCAGGTGAATAGAGGTAATGCCCCTTTGTTGGTCCTTCTTGATTTATTGTGTTATCTTGCTTCATTATCTTGAACATCAGATTGGACTACATGGGTCAGTGTTATGCTAGAGTCATTTTTTCTGTATGATAGGATACATAAAGTTGGAAAGGGAGACATGGAATCTGCTCCCTTGGAGCTAACATGCGGGGTGCCCCAGGGATCTGTCAGCACTGCTTCTAACCTTTACATTCCTTTACAGTCTGGGGCCCTCATACTTGGAGGACTGCCTCTCCCTATATGAACCTGGGCAGACCTTTAAGATCCTCACAACAAGATTTGCTCTCTCTTCACTCTTTCAAAGATCTGAGATCTGTGACTGACAGAGCAAGAATATTGTCTGTAGCAGCCCTTCCCGTTATAAAAGGAGTTGCCAGCTGAAACTAGGGCTGCCTCCTCACCCAATTCAGGCAGCAGGGTAAGGCTGCATTGTTCAGATGGGCCTTTTCCTGACTGTGTTAATGTTTTAAATATGCCAGGTGCTCAGCTTTAATAGACTAGTAAACCTCGTCAAGCAGCAAAGAGAAGCAGTATAAAAATATAGTAAATGCACATATAAATTTATAATCTATCTTTCCTTGCATCAAAGTGAGACTATCTACTCTATAGTTTCCAGGATTCTCCTATTCCCCCCCTTTAAAAGATCAGAACATCTGTCTATCTCATAGCCCCTCACCCATTTTCCACAGTTTCTCAAAGATAATAAACAGCTGTTCAGAAACTACATCGGTAAGTTTCTTTAGAACCCTAGGATGTAATTTAACCTGTGCAGAATATTTAAAACTACTTTAAGATTGCTAGTTTTCTCTTGAATAATTCCTTGTCAGTCTTGAGAGGCAAGCCTATCCCCCTCACCATTCAAGCTCCTTTTGGTGGACAAAGTTTCCCTTTTGGAGGGACATTGAGGGGAAGTGGAGGCTGAATAGTTCTGTCTTCACTTTTTCACCTGCCTCTCTAGAGCAGTGGGCCTACCATTTCCTTCCTCTTTCTTTGGACTCACCTGCAAAAGCCCTTTTCATTGTGCTCTGCACCCCTTGCCAGCTGCAGCTTATCTTGCCCCTTAGCTTTGCAGACTCCGTTCATGTAAGCCTGTTCTGTAGAAGTCCCAAATGACCCATCTCTCCTGCCATTTCCTATGCATGCCTGTATAGGAATATTGCTTCTATATTCACATGCCTTCTCCTGTGATGTCGTTTGATAACATACTGTGTCTTGTTTCCTGTTGCAAGCCAAATGGTGAGGCCACATGGCCTCAATAGCCATGCCATAAACCCACATTCTTTCACACTTTCATGCCAAAAGCCAGACCTCATGGCTACATTTTCTGGCCCATTTGCGACCAGTCACGTACACAATGAAGTAGCTGGAGTTTGGGTCACATGACTGCAGGCAGGGTCTCCAAACTTCCAGCCAATCCCACAAACCTGATGTTAGCAACCATGGCAACCAACAATTGGGCACACCCATGCCCACTCGCAATTGGCTGATGGTTACATCTAATTTGTGACTGGAATTGGGGTATAATTGTTTGATCCCTATGGGAGTGAGCTCTTCTTCCTGTTCTCGAGGCTCTTGCCCTTGCTCTCTCCCCTGTCATTGTCTGTTTTATTGCACCTGAAATGCTGCCTCTTGAGAGACAAAGAGTTGCTTTGTGAACTGGAGCATATGGGTGCGCAAAAATGGGGTTTCCATTCAAAATCCCTTGGACTATTCTGGACTGTGAATGTTCCTGATGTGGTAACTATGTATCTTCAATGTGTAGTTAAGGCAAATTGCCCTAGCCTTTGTTATTTTTATAATCTCTGGTAGTCTATGCTAAGCTCTGTACTGAATAAAGATCCTTCTTATTGCTAATTTGTCTCTGGTGTTGTAACTGAATTCCAAGTCTAAGTCTTGTGCCTAACCCTGACCACATATGCTACCTTGGTAAGAGTGTGCATCTCTGGATAGAGTTGCTACTGTGTTAAATCCCAGATGCTAACTAAGGGTTGGAATCTCTCCCTTAGGAAAGGCAGGGACTAGTGAAAAGAGGTTCTGGTGGCAAATTGTTGTGAAGACCAGAGATGGTACAGACTGTCTCGTGGCTTGTTGTTTAATGTGCTGAAAAGTACAGGATTCCCTCCCATCCCTGGACTGGCCTGGGTGGGCTAATCCTGTACAATGCCCTTGGTGATTTTCAGCTTTTGATGCAGCTGCAATGGCTCCTTTAGATGTCTCCCATTTCCCTTTATTGGTATTGTTTCTGATTGTGCCTTTAATTCTGGTTTTTTTTCAAGATCCCACTCATCACTCTTTTCTCTTGACAGATTACCTAGCTATAGAAACATACCTAGCATTTTCCTAAGTCTATTAAAAATCAGCTTTCCTGAAGTTGAGAAAGTACTTATTTGACTATGCTTAACTTTATTATCCCATAAGATCAAGGGTTCCAGTATTTTCCCCAAAGTTCACACAGCTTTCACTTAGTCAACCAAGTCTTTCCTACTGGTCAATACTGAGCCAAGGACAGCTGAACCCCTCATTCCTTCCTCCACCTCGTGAAAGCAGAAGTTGTCAGCAAGGCATGACAGGAATCTATCAGATATTCTGTGCTAAGAAGAATTTCCCTCCCAGCAGGTATCGGGGGAGTTGATGTCTCCCATTATCACCAATTCTTGCTTCTTTGAAACATCAGTAATTTGTTTCCAGAAAGATTTATGTTGGTCTGAAGCCGCAGAACAAGGTTCAAGTCCAGTGGCACCTTTAAGACCAACAAAGTTTTACTCAAGGAATAAGATTTCGTGTGGCAAACACACTTCTTCAGATACACTGAAGTGGAAGTTACCAGTCCATACATATAGGTCTAGGTGAGCAGCCAATCAGCATAAGCTTCATAAAAGGTGTTTGACAGATGCGAGGACCGAACTGGAATAACTGTTTCAAGAAAGCATCACCTGCATTCCCTCCCTGATCTGGCAGTCTGTAATGGACTCCAACCACAACGCTTTTTTCCTCTGAGGTAAACAGCTCGAATCTAGCGCACGGGTGTCAAACTCATTCGTTGTGAGGGCCAGATCTGACATAAATGAGACCTGGTTGGGCTGGGCCATGTGTGCCATAAAAGGTAATGCCAGGTAGTGGAGATATAAAACTTTATAAAGGACACAGACAAACACAACAGACACCCTTGATCTAGCGTATAAAGATGGCACCTTTCGCTCCCCCTTGTTTCAGGGTAATGTCTAAGATCCACTGTGAGCCTCCTTCCCAGAACTACTTGTATGGCCACATTCCCAAAGAAAGGGCACAGGAATGACATACCTCAGTGGCTGCCTGAGAGCCTCAAAGCCCAAGCTGAAGCATATTTCCAAAGCTTTGTATTTGGGACAGCTTCTGCAGAGGACGTGATGGGTTTTTTAAAAGCTCTAACTGCGTTGTGACTCAATGTGAAATTTGCTTTCTTGCCCATTGTTATCCGTCTTGACCCTTCAGCATGGGATGCAATAGAAATTCGAGGAACAGGGAAAGCACTGCAAAGTCTGAAAAACTACCCGCGACGCGACTGAAAATATTCATGTGCAGCAGTCGCAGCTCTGTGCCTGAGGTCATCGGATCGCCAAATTCTGATCCCAGGTGCTCCAGTCCTTCACAGGGAGAGAGAGAACCTGCGTAACTTGCCAGAATGCTATCGCCTATCAAAACGGACACTGCTGATTCATCGTTACCTCTAAAAGGGAGGAAGAGAGTTGACCTCCTCTGGACGTACCTGGCTGATGTGTATTGCAGAGACCTGAGCGGAGCACACGGACGAGTGACTCGGAGAGTTTGGTAGTGATTTACAAGGGCCTATCGAAAGCTGCTGTTTTTTTCTCGTTGCCACAATCTTCTGCGCAACTGTAAAAGAGAAAATTAGAAAGAAATTTTATTACAAGGAGGCCCACGCATTGATGCAGCAATTTGTTATTCCGCCCAGGGCTTGAATCACCATGTTCGTAAGTAAAGAGTAATTGCATCATTTGAACAGTAATATAAACTGGCAGTCCTGTAACTGATGGGTATGCAAACTAGGGGTAAAAGCACTTACAGTTGTAAGCCTGTGTGCTGTCTGAGATACGGGGGGATACAGATTCACAACCAATCTCTTGGATATCCCAGTAAATATGAAAACTATTCTCAAAAGAATTACAGACTCACTTTCATTTCTTCTGATTTCCACATGGATGAGCTTGCAATAAGAATAGTTAATTGAAGCATTTATTTCAAAAGAAAGCTAAAACACAAGTTGGTAAATCACAGTATTAAAGTGGTTCTGAAAGAAACACTAATCTCCTAGACACAAAGACTGCGGTTGTGGGGCAGGAGGAAGGTATTCGTTTTTGTAGCTCCTCCTGGGATAGATCGCCCCAATGCCATCTTATATTTCAATTTAAATGCAACGTAGGAGTAAAATGTGCACCTGAAAAAGGTGGGTTGCCACAAAAGATGTTTTATAGGGACAGAAAGCTTGGGGAAAAGCTTTGCATTCGAGACGCCGTTCACCATCTCCGGGAGCCAAAAAAATGCAATGCCAAGACAACAACACTTTTCTGTATGACTCTCACAAAACACAAGTCTATGAGGTAATGGCGTTCCAGTCATGATTTGTACTGATAGCGACTGCACTACAGTTAAAGAGTCTAAAAGGCTGGACAAAATTTAATTTAAATCCCCTTACCATGATTTGGAACATAGGTTTTGCCCAAAAATATGCACATACATCTAGGAGATTTTATATTATTTCTACTCAGGGCCTCCTTCAGACGTTCTGCTAGTAGCAGGGGAGCCATGGCAGTGCTGCGCCTTTCTATACAGCCAAGCTGACAGAAGTGGCATAAGACGCACCAAAGAAAGTGACACAATGGCTCCTCCCCACCCTTCGCCATGCCAACGCCGCTCGGGTTGCTGGGAAAGGTAGTGGAGGACCCGTGGGGTGGGGGTACAAAAGGGACCCAGGAGTGTAAGGAGGAGTAGTGCTGCTCAGACTGCCATGACACCACCCCCTCAGGAGTCAACAAAGAAATCCATTCTGCACAGTTGTTACCATAAAGATGTGTTACCTCACTTGTACTGCTGCCCATATACCACAATTAAACTTCCTTTGTTGCACATTACACAGAAAAGCCCTTTCAGTTGGACTGTTAACCATCGCCCGCCCCCCCCCATCCCCTGAGGACCAAGGACAGACGGAAGTGTAAACAGGGCATTATTTAACCAGCCATTTGCAGTAACTGAACGTGATGGACAGCCCTTAAAACAGGCTTCAAAATGCTCTACTACCAGAGTGCCGGAAGACATAAATCTCCTCAGGAATGGAGAGCTCTGATTGATAGGCTACTCCAAGCACTCTGGCCAGCCCCAGCTAAGGGCAGAAATTTTTATGAGCTGGGTGCTGAGGGGAAATGGGCATCATTCTCAGAGAGGAGTGAGTGATGAGAAGATCCTGAGTGCCTCCAGTGGCCACCCTTTAGAAGAGTTGACACGTGTATGTCCTGAGAGGTGTCTTCCAACTGGCCCTCCAAGCCTACCAACCGACTCAAGCAACACCTCCCATTTATTTCTCTTTCTCCTCACCCACCGGAAGGGGGCAGGGTGGCTCCCACTCCTTCGTGGCTTCTCCTGCCTTCTTTACAATAGCAGCTAAGATCTCACAGCAAAGTGTCTCGAGGTCTTGGCTCGGTAAACAAAGCATTTTTATTTGTGTTTTGCTTTGCTTTTCCTGCAAATTTGGGGGGCTCTCTCAGGAACCTGGCCCCACTCTCCTGGTTTGTTTGTTTTTTCCTATCTGCAAGGGGGCAGGTTCACTATTCGGAATATGAGGAAGCTAACCGTTTACTGGAAACGCATGGACAAAGAGTACTGGACTGGTATGGTTGTGGCAGCTGGCTCAGGCTAGGTGAGGCTTACCATTTAAACAATGTAAATCCAATCCTCAATATTTGTCTTTGGCTACTGGTATTTTTACATGTCAAGTAAAAACTACCTTTTTATTCCTGGCTGCTTCTTATTCCAGGCTGCTTAGTTCCACAGTCTTTTCTGAAACCCAGTAAATTTGGTGTAGTGGTTAAGTGCGCGGACTCTAATCTGGGAGAACCAGGTTTGATTCCCCACTCCTCCACTTGCACCTGCTGGATGACCTTGGGCAAGCCATAGTTCTGTCAGAGCTGTTCTTGAAAAAAGAGCAGTTTCTGTCAGAGCTCTCTCAGCCCCACCTACCTCACAGGGTGTCTGTTGTGGGGAGGGGGAGGGAAAGGAGTTTGTAAGCCGCTCTGAGACTCCTTTGGGTAGTGAAGGGCGGGGTATAAATCCAATCTCTTCTCCTCTTCTTCTTCTACCATCAGGCTTAGAATAAAGTGAAGCAAGGAAGTCCTTTGTAGAGATAGATCTTCTCAGGAAAGTTAACCTCTGTCCATGATTAACTGGTGTTGGAGACAAGGGGTCTGAATGAAGAGCTACTTAAGAGGCAAAGCAAGGCTCGAGTCCAGTAGAAACTCACAGACCAACAAAAAAATTTTAGGATATAAGCTTTCAAGAGTCAAAGATCCCCTCATCAGATACAAGTTGGAAATGAGATCCCTAAATCTTTATATCCTAGATAGAAGGTGGGAGGGGTGTTGCAAAAAGGGAAGTCAGGATGCAGAGGTACAATGCACAATGTAATCAGCTTGATTAGAGCAGGGGAGAAATGCTTAGGCACAGAACATTAGCATCTGTCGTGAGGTAAGAATCTTACGTCACCATTCAGCTCTGGTGGGTCAATTGTTCTGAACTTGTGAATTAACTCAAATTCAGCCATTTCACACTGTAATCTTCCCTTGAAGCTTCCCTGTCTGAGGACTGCCCCCTCCTAGGTCAGTGGCAAAGGTAAGGCGCTAAGCCTGTAATTTCCAGCTACCCTCTAGAGTGCACGATGGAGAGAAACAATCATGGGGGTTTTTTTGTGTGTGTGAAGGAACTGATTGAAGGAGAGCCAATTTCCTCATTACGGTCTAGTAACTTTGAGATCTGAGCCTGACTGGTACTTCTCTCCTGGATGGAATGATGTTGGGTTATGAAGAGCCAAGAAAGATAATTCTAACACAACATGCCTCCCATTTTGACCAAATGCATGAACTCACACTAGCATGGGATAGAAATTAAATACTGCAGTAATAGATTGGGATCCTTTTTGGCAGTAGAGTATTTCAGATTTAAACATCTAATCTGTCAGCAAACTATGAAAGCATCAGAAATCTCATAAATTTCAGGGCTTTTAAAAAATAAAATCCCTTTGAATTTGATCATCCCCTGAAGTTATTTTCAGTGCAAAATGCATTCAGTACCTGGAATGGACATTCATTCACCCGCCTGTGTGCCATATATTAAAGTGAGGCCAAAAACTATTTAAAGTTTTACCTTCATTAATACAGTATAATTTAAAACCAGAGATTCTAAATTATAAAATTCCTGGTATACTAAAACAAATTCATTTATGTTGCTATTATCTCTTAGGGCAGTTAATTTGACGGAAATTAGACTATTGTTTAATTGTTCCTATTAATCAGGGGCTTTAAAGACTGAGAACAATAAACAGTTACCTTCAGGACTGAACAAAGTCAAAGTTGGTTGATGTTGTTTCTAGAAAGGTAGAGCACCGAAGGGGAGGAAGGTGGCAGGGCATAGCCTGGTCTCATTCAGACTAGGAAGCTAAGCAAAGTAGGTACTTGGATGGGAGACCACCAAGGAGAACTCTGCACAGGAAGGCACTGGCAAACTACCTCTGCCTCTCACTTGCCTTGAAGGCCTCTTGCAAGGGTCATCATATGTTGGTTGCATAGTCACTGCACTTAAGTAACGTAAAGCACAGAAGACCACCACTTAACCGGGTGAGCCATCACCCACTGTGATCAGCACCCAAAGCACTAGGTGTTACGACTCCATTCAAGGGAGCTAATTTTGCGGATAAAGCCTAAAACCTACAGGCCTGGGAAATGGCCCTTCTGCCATCATCATCTAGAGTAAGGAAGCCATGTTCACCTCTCAATAATGCACCAATCCAGAAAGAAGAAGAGAAGAAGAAGAGATTGGATTTATACCCCGCCCTTCACTACCCAAAGGTGTCTCAGAGCGGCTTACAAACTCCTTCCCCTTCCCCTCCCCACAACAGACACCCTGTGAGGTAGGTGACAGAAGCGGCTCTTTTTCAAGAACAGCTCTTATCAGAACTATGGCTTGCCCAAGGTCATCCAGCCAGGTGCATGTGGAGGATTGGGGTATCAAACCCGGTTCTCCCAGATTAGAGTCCGCGCACTTAATCACTGCACCAAACTGGCTGGAAAGAACACACAGAGCAGTGTTTTCCATGGCTTCACAGTTACAAGTCCGAGCCACCAGTCAGGGTGTGACTCACTGGCAGGGCCCAAATACTGCAAAACTCTGGATGCCCAAAACTGGTTGTGGCCTCCCAAGAGTCTCCATTGGCTCCCGGGGGTGGATGCCGGCTTGCTTCCCGGCCACTCAGAAAGCTGAATGCACACCAGGCAGCGGCCTGAAGCCTTCCCCACCAGGGGACAAACGCATGCCGGACAGGAGGAAACTGACATCAGGAAAATGCTGTGAGATAAAGTGTTACTCAGTGTGTGTGTCGTCACTTCAGAACACACAGAAGGGCTCACGTTATTAAGTGTTCCCCCCCAGACAGAAGGAACTCCCTTTAACGCAGAAAGGTAGCATCTCCTAGACGTCTAGTTTTGTATGAGGAAGACACATCGTATGGTGGACAACTCCTATCACATACGTGCCCCCCAATCTGAAATAGCAGAGCACAGACACATGTTGGGACTCCTCAAGAAGAACTCAGCCTGGGACAACTGCTGTGC